AACTATGTGGGAAATACTCTAAACCCTGTTTTTTTATGAGATTGTAGTATATGGGTGGTTGTCAAAATTATGGTCCCCTTTTTGGGTACCCTAAATATTAGGTGCCGTATTATAGTAGGGATCCAAAAAGAGACCATAATTTTGACAACCACCACCATGAGCTATAGTCAAAACTCCCCAAAAGGGAGGTAACATAGGGTTAAGGGTTTATGGTTTAGGGTCTAAACTCCTTAAAGGGGGTAATATTGGGGACTCGATAGGGGAATATTTTAAGGTCTATTAAAGGGGAAACTAGGAGTTTGGACTATAGCTCCCGCAGCTCCTGTTTTTGTATTGCCACTCCCTTTTTCGATTGATTCTCCAGTTTAGGGTTTAGGGCTACGTAGGGGATGATATAGGTGAATAGGGATGTAACTCGGGTTCTCGGCGTAGCGCTTACAGTAGGATTTAGGGCGGTGCTCCGTGGACCCAACATCCTGAGCCCTAACAAAACCCAAAGCCTGGTTAAAGCCCTATGAAGCTTGCCAAGGGCCATCAGGGTGGGGGGCGCGGTGTCCACTTGGATAACATTTTTTGTTTCGGTTTTGGGTCGTGTAAAACACACTTGGGGATGTACCTCTGAACTGACTAACTAAAATCCGTAAGTCCCCTAATAAGGTTGCAAACAGTCAGATGGTAAGTAAAAAATAAGCAGGTTCTGACTTCCCAGTCATGATCCCCCAGGTAGCGTTTAGGGGTAGGGTTTGGATTTGGGAGGGTTCATTTGCGGAGAGCTCCATATTACATGGCCAACGGTTTGTACTAAGTCAGAACTGAACACGAGTCGACTCGAGTCATCCCGTTTTCATGTTGCAGCGTTTTGATTTGAGTATCGAGCTGCTTGCCGATGATTGTGGCTACCCAACCCATGGCCAACTCCAGGGTCCCTTCAGAACAGAGAAGCACCTGCATTGCGTAAACAGCTTGCGCATGTTAATGATCGTGTCCATTCATGGGGGGCCTCGATATAAACCCTGGTATACTCATGTTTTGCAAGGGCTTCTACAATGAAACGCCCACTTTTTTGCAAACCCCCAGATACATACGGCTTTCCGGAGTCGCATTAGTATTGGGTCGGGGTTTCGAGTTCTTGTGGAAACACTGGTGTTTTTTTTGCGTGAAGCCTTCTTGTTTAGGTAGGGGCCACCAGAGGCCTCTTGCAAATTGCTTCCAGTACTGGTCATTCTTGTATTCCATAGCACTTGCAGCGGGGCCAAAACCTTGAACCTTACCAGCACCTCGGAAGCAGGTAAAATGACGACTTAACATCCACAGCAACAAAGAACAAGGCCAATGTTTTACAATTTCTGTGTTCAGCTAAACCGGCTTCCGGAGAGATCCACTTATAGACATCGCCACTGAGTCCAAAGGTGCAGTGTTCTTGTTGGGAGCGCCTTTAGCATGGAAGTTTATTGAGCTATTTGATGTATGGCGAGTCCGAGAGATACATATGGACATGCATATATATGTATATACATATAGATCTGGTCACCCCAAGATCCATATTGAAAGGTCTTGCATCAACTTCTCTTGCTTACACGCACAGAAAAGCCTCATATCAACAGCTGAAGATACATATCGGTGTTTTTTTTTGCAAATTTTGCAAACTATTTATATCTGCCGTAATTTTAAAGTTGAGGTTCTCAAGGTGTGTTCAGTGAAGCTTGGAAGTACCTCCTCAGGTTTTTGCAATTTTTTAAGGAAGCTATAATAAAACTTGAGGAGGTACAAACAAAGAAATCCTGAGACCCCCAATCCCAAGACCTCCACCACTCTTTTGGTGTTATTTGGTACCTCCTCAAGTTTTGGCAAGAGTTTCACCTACAAGCTTCGTTTTCTGTGAATACCTCCTCAGGTTTGTGCTAGGCTTTCGCAGAAAAAAATACAGCAAACAAATTGAGGTGGCACCTAAAAACAGTCCTGAGACCCTCAATCCCAAGGAATCCCAATCTTTGGTTGCTGTTGGTTTGTTGGTACCTCCTCAGGTTTTGGCAAGGCTTTCACCTCCACATTTTGGCTGTTGGTGCCTGATGGGGTTTTGGCAATGTTTACAAATCAAAAACCAAGACCCCAGCATTCTAGGATTTCTGTATCAGTTGCTTTTGATGCTAAAAGTGATTTACATACACTGGGGCCAGCTGCCAAACCAGGAATGCAGGATTCTAGGATTTCTGTGTTTGTTATGCTAACTGACTGTATGCTCCTCACATTCACCCTCTTCTTCCACAGAACACAAAACTCGTACATATGAGACCCAAAACTATCTCAACATGGATCTTGGGAGGGTGGAACATACCTGCATAGAAGAACCAGCAAAAGGGATGTCACCCTCAACGGCCATCTGCAGGACCCAGACATCTGACACGCAAATCTTAAACCCCTGTCCCTAAACCCTGAACCCTGAACTAAACCCCAAACCCCCTTACACAACCCCTGCCCTACACCCTGAACCCTAAACTAAACCCTAACCCCCCTGTCACTAAACCCTGAACCCTAACCCCGTTAAAACACTCTCAATCCGGAATCCACGACAGCCTTCATTCCCTTCTGCATGAGGACCGGGTTGTAGCCGCTACTCACGAGCTGCATGCCCTGAAGGAGTAAAGCATCTGTGGACTGTGGAAAATTTGACACGCTCCACAGCCCCTACCCCTGAACTATAGACCTGGAACCCCTAACCTTCAACCCTAATTTACCGCAAGGGTCTCAGTACCCAATGGCTAGGTGCTTAGGATTTTGGTCATATTACTTGTAATGCAATTTGGGTAGACAGGCCTCCTCGCACCCAGAACTGCAAGTTTAGGTTTTCGGATTTCTCAAAATTGGTGGGGAGACCCCCAGGGTAAAGAGACATTATCAGGAGATGTGCGGGTACCACTGGGATTTTGTTTAGAAAGCCCCAAGTAGAAGGGCCTGAAGGGACCTCAAGGGATATACAGGAAGGATGATGGGGTCCCTAGTAAGGATTCTATGAGGGCAGTTTTGGATATATTTCGTTTGGGAAGTTCCCTTGAGGTTTTGGGGAGGCTATCAGGGGGCTCGAATTTGGGCAAATATCTTTAGCTTGCGCAACCCTAAAGCATTAAGCCCTTAAAAGTGGAACCGGATGGCATATCTTGCACAACCCTAAACCTAAGCCCTTCAAAGTGGAACCGACCTGCAAATCTTGCATAAGCCTAAACAGTAGCCCCTCGACCCTAGACCCGAAAACGCCAAATCCCTACACACACTAGCAGGGTGTACTCAAGTCTTGCAGGTGTGCGTGCCTCGTTGACCATCTCCTGGCAAGAGAGAAGCTTTTCACAAAATGGCGTCTGTTACTGGGCTTGCCCAGGATTAGACAGGGATTGTGGGAGGGGTCCATGGGATTAGGGTTTGGGGATTAGGGTTTAGGGATTAAGGTCTGGGGTTATGACAACAATAACGGAACACAACATGGAAAATCAAATAGATGCTGGGCTTATATAAGGATTTTTAAAGGAACCACAAAATGGACCCCCTCACAATCACTTCTTTACTAGATTGGGAAACTTGAAACTAGGGGATTCTTGGGAGGCTCCATTTTTGCATCCTTGCGAGGGCTCTGGGTAAGGAGGAGCGCCGGGGGATAGAGGTACTATAAGAGTGCCACATGGGGAATCCGGGAGCAGAAAGGAAAGGATTCAGGGCCTAGGCTGCTTCAGGAGGAAGGGGTGCTCGGATAGAGGTACTATTCCACGGGTACAGATGCGAAACAACTAGGAAGCTACATAGATCCAATCTACCACCGGAAGCACCATTAAAGCTTAGGTTAAGGTGGTTCCCTACCGAGTACTAGCGCCAACCAGACATGATATCATTCCAGGTTTTCTCTGTATTGCTGCTAGACTACTATTCGCGGGCAACCTAGGTCTAAGATTTACTGGGGTAGGTTCCCGGACCACTTACGAAGTTGCAAGGATGTGAGGTGCACGATGTGGTGCAAACTCTCTCCATCCTAATGTAGCATCTAAAGCATCCTAAAGCCCTGATTCACGTGCTACAGCCCAGACCAACATTCCTTCTGGTGGCTGGCAGACAGTTGATCCCGTGAGTCATCCAGCTCTGTGGAACCTTACCACAGCGCTTCCCCATTGCCGTGGCGAAGGGTCTAGGACGGGCAGTGCGGCATGTGACTTGCATGAGCAACAACCACAAGTTGCGACGGATTTTAGAATGCTAAAGACCACCAAAACTCTAACTCCCTAGCACCTCAAACCCTAGAGCCCTCATTCAATGCTGAAGCCCCTCACCATGCAGGGCCTCACCCCAAAAGGTTCTTTCAGTACCTGGCTTAGGGTTTAATTTTTAGGGTTAATTGGGCTTAGGGTTCACTGGCCACCTAATATATACACTCACAAGGCTGCCTAGGAATCGTATATACACTCACCAAAAACCCAAAGAGACCCCGCTTCCATTGCACTAGACTCTAGGGGACCCCAACATGGCGCATGATCTTGGACAACTCAAACATGCCCAAAACCCTAGACGAGCACTCAACCAAACACTAAACTCTCGACCCAACAACCTAAACTGTGAACTCCGAACCTCAAAGCCCAAACGCGGAGTTCTCAAACCTCCACCCTACACCCATCTACATCCTGAACCCTCAGCTCTAAACCCTTAACCCATCAAATACTACCCGAACCCGAAACCCGCGAAGCAGCTTCCGAGAACCCGAACAATATGGTGGTTCCCGTTGTCCTTTCCATGCATTCACGACCTGCTAAACAAAGGAAAGTAGGCCCAAGCAGCTGACCTGGGTCAGCACGGCAGCGCTGGTCGTGCCATCCCCAGCATTGGACTCTGACTTGGCGGAGGCCTTGCAGCAAAGGCCGTACAGTTTCAACCAGTTTAGGTTTTAGGGTTTAGGGTTTAGAGTTTAGGGGTGTACATTTGGGGGGTGGGGGGGTGGGTATAAAAAATCAAATTTTCATGGACGTATAAAGGATTATATCGGAATTAGGGCAACCTTGTTTTGCAAAAGAAGTATGTTCAAACCTGCCACTGTTTAGGGCTTCAGGGTCTATGCCTTGGAGTCTGGTGTTCATGCCTTGGAATTGGGGGTTTATGCCTGTTGAGGGTTATGCCTTTGAGTTTAATTTAGGGGTTCGAGGGCTTCTAGCTTAGGATTTGGGGCTTTGGGAGTTAAGAGCTTACTGTCCAAGATGTCCAAGGAGGTTAGAACTTAAAGGTCCTGGATTAGGGCAGTTAGGGCCATAGGATTGGGCGGGGAATCCTGCATAGATTCCAGGCTTCGGGCTTTTGCACACACTGGCTGAGCCGGAGAACTGCTTGAAAGTTTCTTGGTCAAAAGGACTGCAACTGCTTTATGGCTTCCACGCGCAGCGTTTATGCCTGAACCCTTGGCCCCGAACCATAGCTGGGTGCAAAGACCTGGACAAACATAACGACCCAAACACCTATAAGGCTTGAATTGCTTTGAGATCCTAGGTTTTCAGGGTTTGGGGATTCAAGGCTCAGGGTCGGTGCAGGGTGTCTGCTTCAGGAGTCACTGCCAAAGAACGCAGGACTTGGGAAATCTGGTTGAAGACTGGGCATCAAGACTTATGGTTCAGCAAGTAAGGCGAAAGGCAATTGGACTGCTTCACTAGCTCCTCCCCCTAGGAGGCCGAAGTACCCACACGGGGAATGAAGGCTTTGCCAGACCATGAGCAGAGTTCCTACTGCAGAAACCATACACCTTATACTGGGTTGCTGTTAAGGAACTTAAAATAAGTTACCATAATGGGTATATATATTGTAAATAATAGGGTTTCCCCAATTTAAGTTCAGCAACCCAGTGTCAGGGTTTAGGATTTAGGGTTTTATGGGTTTAGGGAACCCCCGAGTCGTAGGATGGAAGCCTAAATGCCTTCAAGCCCCTCCCAAATCCTCGACTTGAATCTTGCTGGGGTACTACTGAGTGAGGTCAATGGAAATCTATGGCGTGTTCAGGTACTTAAGCAACATGTAACATGTTGTTTTACAACAGCGTAGTCGACCCGAATCCAGTTTCTGAGTTTTCAGCGTTTCGACAGCTTACAATTTAGTGCCCAATCCACTTTCCAAGCTTCCAGGCACCGCCATATTCTGCGGTTTAGGCTTCAGGGTTTGGGGTTCGAGTTTTAGGGTTTCGGGTTACCAATACCAACACTTCTACACTACTTGCACAGGTTCCCTCTTAACTGAGCTCAGCTACGTAGGACTGATTTACCCTAATAAAGGGTGAGCCTTTTCTTTGCGGGGGTATGTGGGAGGCGGCTGGTGAACCTCTACTCTAGTTTCAGACCCCCGAAAACAACTTCTAGTATCATAATAGGAAGCTACAAAAAGACCCTTAAGCTTCAGGAAGCCTGCCGCTTGAGCTTCGGACCTGCGTCAGGAGCTTGACACCAAGGTTCATTTCTTTGTCCTGCCAAAGCCATCCACGAATTTGGTACCCCAACCCCCCCCCCTCCCCACCACCAGGCCAAAAAAAGATAATAGATTTATAGCATCCTCCATTCTGGGGGCTTAGGTTTGCCAAGCCCTCTGGTTCCCAAGCGTGAGCCCGAAACCCTAGAACCTGAATCTTGATTCTGGGCCACTTCCCATCCACGACCTCACATGGTCTAGATGCGACAGCTGATCAACGCAAAAAGCGGTATTGAAAAGAAACTGGGACCCAGGGGAGGTTAGCACCTTCTAGGGTTTCTCGTTTAGGGTTTATTAAAGGTTTGGGGTTTAGGTTCCGAACCTTTTTGCCGTGGGATCTGGGGTCGCGGGCCCGGGGTCTGTATGCCAGACACAGAAGAATACCAAGTTTTCGTGTTGCACAAACCCATGCCGGCTGTGGCCGTCTGAATGTAGGATTTGGGGTTTAGGGGTTCAGGATTTTGGGCTGAAGGTTCCAGGAGAGGCCGGATACAACGCCCCCCCCCCCCCTCCCCCCCCTCCCCCCCTCCAAAAAACACACACACACACACAAACCCACCAAGAGAGTCGTATAGATAACCATTCTTAACGTCGTAGTCTTACTCCAGTTTGGGGTGCCGCTATGGGAACTGAGGTAGTCTCCAATGCAAAAGCCTGAACAAAAGTAACGTTATCCCCTCATTATCTTCATCCAGAGATCATGCACCCAAGCAATAGTGAGCGCAAGCAACACTGGCAATTACAGTGGGATTTGTTCTACATTCCTACTCTGCCACTACTTGGTGGGGGGGGTGGGCTAACCTAGCTCAAGTTTGAGAAGGAATGTTTGTTCAAACGACGGTCCTACAAGGGCTTGAATATTGAAAAAAGAACGGTATAATTTCAAGAAACTCTCCTCTGCCTACAAGCGGCAGGGACATTGCACTACTCTGCAAGGTTTCTCGCATGGCATGATAGACATTATCATATCATCTGCTTCTATTCTTGACAGATCCGACTCGCGGAAGATCCCGCGGGAAGTGCGGGGGGGGGCATCGGGATGGAGGCTCCTGATTTTTTGGGGGGTGTCTTGTCCATACTTCCGTTCCCAGAGTAGGCGAAACTTACAGGAGCACGCATGCAAGCATGGTAACTAACTTTGGTGGCTTGTACTATACGCATAGCATACAGGCCTCGTCATACATGCGCGAAGAAATCCAAGTATAACCATAGCAAAAAAAGCGCAGGGTCACTCTCCTTCACAGCAACTGTCCTTAAAAGAGTCATTATAACAACTTTTCCCGCTTGGGGTAACTGTCGGCATACCGGAGCATGACATTATATACATATAACAAGGACTGAAAAGGAGCGTTTCAACAGTAATGTCGCCAGGGCCTGAAACCTTCCAATCTTTCGATCTGCATGGTTGAACCGCAAACCGTCATTCCTACACCAAACACCCTAAACAAGGGGCTCTAAGCCCCGACCCCTAACTCTTAAGCCCCACGTCCTAATTCCTACACCCTAAACTGTTGTCCTGAAGCGAGATGGCACGAGCAATGGTAACGCCATCGTTGACGATCTGCGGAACCTGCTCAAGTCAGAGCTTCAGATCACAAGAATGCAGAATAAGGGGTTTAGGGCTTGAGGGTGTTGCAGGTTTTAGGAACAAGGGTCTAGGGTCTAGGCTTTAGGGCTTTGGAACGAGAGTTCCAAGTCTAGGGCTACTGCACCAATACTGGAAAATCAATTTGGAAAATCGAAGATGACGTAGAAACTGGGAGTATGTAGGTCGACCCTCCTCCTACCCTCTATTAGGGCTTAAGTACCCACTATTAGGGGACCATATATCCCCAATTAAGGGTACAAGGAAGGTCCTGGTAGGGGCTGATTAAGATACAGCTGCCCAGGAGCCTGACCTGCGTATACTGTGCATTAGCGCCAGGACATGCCTTATGATGGATGTGGGTGGTTATCAAAATTATGGCCCTTTTTTGGGTACCCTAAATGCTAGGTGCCCGTATTGTAATAGGGACCCAAAAAGGGACCATAATTTTGACAACCACCCATGTACTTCCTCAACTGCATAGACATCTCCTGCAAGCTCAACCCTTTCCAACACCGCGGTGATCCATAGCTCCTAAATCCTAAACCCTACCTCCTGCGGGGCCCCGACCCTATCTCTGGCCCAGCCGGAGTTTAGTCCTGAAGACCGGCATCGTCAACTAGTGGAATCAAACAGTTATATAGTTATCTTGGGATAGTCGAAACTACTACAATGGGTTAATAGGGGCTCTACTGGGATTATAAGGATAATGGAAGAGAAAATGGAAGCTATTATACTATAAGACCAAAGGAGGCGAGCATGAGGCAAGGATCAACAGGGGCTTACATGGGGTATGCAATGTACGGACATCCCAATATCTGCCTGTATCATTTTGAGGTTGATGTGTGGTTCCCCTTACCATAATCGGCTGAGATTTTTCACGTTGGGCAGAATAAAAACGTATGTGCGTGACTTCTTTTCTCTGCTTCCTTAGAAAAGCCACCACGCTACCCATAGCAGTATGACCCGTTGTCCCCTGAACACTTACCTGCTCCTGCCAATATTGTATACCAAGCTGCTTCGCTTGATTGTCCGTCAGCGGGCCACGGAAATGCTCAAAAAGGCCGCCCAGCTCTTTGCCATGCCCGCCCTACACCCTAAACCCTTCCCATGCACTTCGAAGCGCCTGGGATTGGCACCTGGGCCAAGATCCTTCTTTACCTCTGGGAAGCCAGTTTTGTCCTGGCCTTCATGTCCCTCCTCGTCATCACGAGTCTAGGACCATATGATATCGGTATGAATTCAGGCTTCTACAGTTCTTATGTGTCACATTACACGTCATATGTCGTGCCAACGAGCTATCACATGAACATCTGCAAAGCTCTCCATAAACCCTAGGGTTCAGAGTTACCCTTCCCGAAACGAGCATGGAAGCCCCCGATGAAAGGTTCACAGACACCCTCAACAGTAGGATAAATGATATTTCCAAAGCTCGACATGAAACTATCTGGGAACCATTTTTTACAAAAAACACCATCCAGGACTTCGCCCAATCAAAATGTCGAAGAAGAGTATACCTTACATGATCGGCCCTGAACCCAAACCCCCTAAACCATAGACCGCTAAAACCCCTAACCTCTCAACCATCTCCCGTTAAACCCTCAACCGACCCCTTAAATCCCTCAGGACAACCACAAAGCCTAAACCTTTAACCCTGCGAACCCGAAACCCTAAACCCTGCGAACGCTAAACCCTAAGCACTGCAAACCCTAAACCCTGAACCCACCCAACCCTATAGTCCCCCTTGAGTAGATAGAATATGGGGTATGTGGGGATCTTATTACAAAATACCCAGAGCCATATTCTATCTAGTTAAGGGGGACTATAAGCCTTGTGACAGTGACGGCCTGGAAGGACTCTCTCTGGAGCACCACGTTTCTGCCCTTGGGTCCGAGGGTTACCTTGACCTGGCAGCTTTATCAGTTCATATTTTAAGGTTTCCAGGTGTACCGTTTTGGGGATCCTTATAATAAGGAGTATAATAAATTGCGGTCTATATTTGGGTCCCTCAATTTTGGGAAGCTACCATTTAGGGTTTAGGGTTTGGAGTTTAGGATACAAGTCTATAGGGCGTATGCTTTGGGGCCCAGGGTTGAGGTGAAGATATTCATGGAGATTTTGGGGTCAAGGGTTAGACCCTATAAACTCTAAACCCTAAACTTTTAAAGCCTAAACCTCAAGGTGGAAGGCTGGGAGATCCTGGGTCGGGGGATGTAAGGTATAGGGCTTCCCGGCTGGGGGCGTAGGGTTTCAGGATGTAGGGCTCGTAGAGTTACACCCTAAACGCCTAAATCCTGAACCCTGCACCCTACCAAACCCTATGACAGTTTTTTTTACGGATGCATAGGTTGGGTAGTTTGAGGGTCGAGGCGTTCAGAGGTTTAGGGCTAAGAGTCCACAGATCTGGCAGTTGGGTCTTTCGGGTTGCAAGCTCTAAGTGGGGGAAAAAGGATTTTGGATTTCGGGACCTTAGATTAGGCCTAGGGTTGAGGATTTACAGATAAAGGGCTTCGGTATGTCGGGTTGAGGGCTTAGGCTGTTGGGGTATGAAGCCCTGACTCTAGACCCCAAATCGTAAACCGCGCGGCTAAGAATAGCAATAAGAATACGGATAATAATATTAATACGGAGAATAATGAAAACACAAATAAGTATAATTGAAAGACTAATAGTAATAATAATCCTATAATAACACACATACCCACATCACATGGCACCACCTACTCCTCCTCCTCTTCCTCCACCTCATCCTCTCCGTGGCCCTCCTCCTCCGCCTCCCGCGCCCGCCTCTGTTGGGCCCGCTGAGCGCTGGCGGACTTCCGCGTTTACCCGCCTTGCCTCTTCACGAGGTCGCGGGTTCGCGCATCGGGATGTGCGTGGCACGCGCTGGGCCCGGCAGAGCAGGGATAATATTGGATTGTGTTGGTGGAGGGACGGGTGATGGGGTGCCGGATGGATGGGAGTTGATATCGCGGGGTTGGGGAGACTTTAAACTACTTGTACAGGTACCCATATCGCCGCTAGAAGCCCACTAAGTCCCCTAATAGGGTGACAGTTCGGCTATAAGTGAATTGCCAGGTGGTCCAGAACCGACGAACCCCACGCAGCCTACGAGTGTCAGACCGAATTCACGCGGTGAAGGTAAAACGAAGTACAGTCGATTTTCAGGGTAATGCCTGCTAAGCCAAATTTAAGAAGTCTATAGGTGTTTGACAAATCTCTCGATAACTGCTTTTATGCGGCGCCCGACTTGACAACAGCGCGACATGTTTGCATCTTCTCGAGTTTCCAGGTCATATCAAGGCCCTGAAGCCGTAATCCCTACCCCTGAGACCGAGCCCTTTATCCTGAGCCCTAAACCCTAAAACCCTACATTAACCCCTGAACCCTAACCCTAAGCCCTAAAGTTCCTAAAGCTATCCGCTACAAATAAAGCCGAATGACCGCATTGGTCACAGCATTGATGCCCGCTTGAAGCCTGGGCCCGTCTTCGGCTGTCTTTGAAAACTTGAGGCTGCCGCTACGGGATGTGTTAAGGTTATTGCAACAATGGAGAACCAAATGAATTGAACAAGAATGGAATCTGGGACTATCTAGGGGATTGTAAGGATTTATATTGCCAATAAAGCTCATGGCCCTGGGGTTCTTAATATATAAACTGAAAGGACCGCACTGTCCACCTGTGGGGGGGGACTTGAAATAGTAAAGTTCTGGAGTGGATGACAAGGGAGCCTTGAGGAAGCAGCTCTAGCAATGAGCTACCTCCCTTTATTACGGTCCTTAGTCAACTTCAGTGTTGCCCTGCTTAGAGGGTAGGGGATCCCACGCAAGCATGCAGCTTGCTGATGGCTAAATGCAAAAGTGCATGCCTTCGTCTTGACTTGTATAAGGCTACACATACTGCATACACACATGTGAATGTGTACTTGTTCTTGGGCCACAACAGGGCTGTGGAAAATCTGGATAGATCCATACTGTCCGGGTGGGCCTTCGTTGGTATATAGGGTCTTCATGAAGTAAATCCCTACACCCTGAACCCTATACTCAAAACCCTAAGCCCTGAATGCTTGAGCAACCGAATGGCTAACCCAGCAAATCTGTACATCTCCTTGTTTTTGCTGGTTTGCCAGACCCTTGTTTCGCTTAACAGAAATGTTGGGGATTAGGAATTAGAAAGGGGTAACCAAGTGGGTGCCCGTACATACGGCTTGTATGAGGCTCTAATCCCTAAAGGTCTGAAACACAAAGCCCTAAAAGGCTTTTATGGGAAGACTATGTCTAGGAAATGTACAAGGACTATATCTCAGGGTTGTATGGGGAAACTACCTTGGAAACTACGAGGGAATCTTGTCATTATTAGAGCTGCCGGTGCCATGCGGTTTAAGGTTTAGGGTTGGGGATAGACGGGCTCTGCTCCATATTCCCAGGAACAAGCTGTTTCAGCACTTTGCTGGGGCCCGGTGTCTCTCCTTCCTTCTGTCCTTGTTCTCTTTTCACAGATCATTAGGGTGTAGGGTCAGGCTTTGGGGGAACATGGGGAACCAATGTCTGCCTATAGTCCACAGGCCCAGAATAAGACTTTATACTACATACATGCTCCCCGCCTAAACACTAAAGCCAAAAAAATCTAAACATCAATCAAATTCTCAACCTCATCCCACCCGAACGCCGGGCCGACCGTTTTTTTGGGGCGAAGGGATGGACTTGACTGCTATCCAAACCCTAAACCCTGGCGGACTAGAGCCTTGCACGGCTAGTCTCAAAACCTTCCTGCTTATACTGGAATATGTAGGAAAAAACAACGCTGCCAAGTTTGATGGGGATTTAGCAGAATGAGCATATAATTAGACATGTCGACTTATACATCCACTGGTGACCCAGAAGCCCTGAACGTGGGTGTGGCTATGCCCACTCTGAAACGGAAGACCACCAACATGTTGTGGATTAGGGTGTACTGTTTATGGTTTAGGCCTTATAAGGTTCATGACCCTAAACAACTTATCAGAATTACGATATTTTGGTATAGCATCGTCATGCGGGGTTCTCAACATGCTCAAACCCTAAACCCTAAACTCAAGCCTGAACGCGAAACCTATAACTCTGACCCTAACCCCCCACCTAAACCCAACAAGAAACCCTTAGCCATTTGAGCTGTAGTCTAAACTCCAGGTATCCCCCTATAGTACTTCCCTATATAGTCCCCCATATAACCCCCTTTAAGGAGTTTAGATCACAGCTCATTTGAACCATAAACTCAACCCTAAATCGCGCTTACCTTGGGCCGCCAACTTACGAGCCGGGCAACAAAAAACCTATGAAAACCTACACCCAGTACTTCAAAGAAGCTGTCTGTGTGTTTAATAGGGAATAAGGGAATATATGGGGGTGGGTTCCCAAAAGCAGGGGTTCCCTTTTGGGGGTCCCCCAAAATAAGGACTACAGTATTTGGGAGTCCATAGTAGGGTCCCCCTATTTTGGGAAACTACCATATTACATGGGGATTATATACCCTTATTCTGTACTCATATGTTATATGGGGATCATATAGAGATTATGTTCTGTTCTTCCCTACTAACCTCCAGTAAGCAAGAGCGTCCAAACCCCAAACATAGCTTTGCGGCTGGTAAAGGGCTTACCTTTTGTTTGCCCACACATTTTTCAAAGGAAAGCAATACAATGATTCATGCCAGTTTCCGTATCAAGGCTTCATAACAGCCTTAGACCCTAAAGCCGAAGTTCAGGCCTTCATAGCAGCAGCCCCAACATAGGAACTCATATTACACTGATTAAGGCATCCCTTGGTTCAGGGAATAAGGGGTCCCGCACTCCTTAAAAGGGGGTTACAGTTATGTAGTTGTTTTTTTTTTTATTGGGTTAAGGGTTTAGGGCTCTGGGTTAAGGGTTTGGGGTTAAGGGCTTAGGATTAAGGGTTTAGGGTGTGTGCTGCCAAAGTGAGCGGTGGTTTTTATTCTTATATAGTTTCATTACAGAAACTACCCCTTCCACGAAGCCCTTCCGCGATCCTTCCGCGAGT